TCCCAAATTGATATTGTCTTTCATAAGAGATTCTGTCGGTGGTGAAATTTTTTGGTTTAGTTTTTTTTATTATTATTCTTTAAATGGTTCTCTTAAAAGATTTTGCCAAAGGCTTCTTAAGTTGTTTGTGTCTCCTCTGCTTGCACCCGCTCTAGGAAGCTCTAATTCTGCTGTCTTCCACTTTATTCTGAGACTGAAAGCATACGGTACTCTCTTCTTTTCAAGACGACAGTAAACACGGGACGAATTGTTGGAATGTTACAATGTACGTAAGGGAGATCTTACAGTAACAAAACAACTATGGAAATCTGTGATGATGAATTTTGATTTGCAGTACTGAATATTCTAATTTTGTTAAATTAAAACTGATTTTGATATAAAATGATGAATTCTCATTTTAGAAGAAAGCATGAATCGTCACTTAATATCCATTGTTCATCAATTATTAATTTACATCTGATACAAATTCACTTGAAATTCTTGTATCTCAAGAGGGCCAAAATTCTGCTCTCTTCACCTTTGATATGCTCTCCAGCACACCAGACGGTGACACGTGCCCCCTTACAGTTACCCTCTTGCTCTCCAAATCAATGCTGAATGATGTTACCCCTGCAAACCCTATTATTCATTAGCCTGTTGAATTGCATATCTATCTGCACTGGAATTAATTTCATGTGCCTATGTCTTCATGTTAGAAAGCAAATGCAGATTAAATACCGTGCATGAAGCCAACCTCCAACTTATTTGGCCACGTGGTCCAATAGTGTTGACTTTGTCAAGCAAATACAGCTAAAATCTTGTTAGTTACACTCTTCCTTTATTTTTAAACTTTAATGCTCAGTCTCAACATAGTCAATGTCGACAAATAGAACTAGTCATTAGTTCTTGCCACGGAAGCTTTTGTTATCTTGGAAACATATTTCTCCATTTTCATCAAAATTGAAAGGAATATTCAATGAAACATATAAATATTTTTAATACTTTGTTTAGTTGAACTAAAACTCAGATTTTTAATATATTTTGATAAAAATTGATAAAATATGTGATTGAAAAACTATGAAATGTATTGATGAAAATGAATTTCAGGGCTAATTGGACTTTAATTTATTATATTCTTCCTTTCTAAAAATAGCCAAGTTTAGTGGGCCAGCATGAAAATTTTGTGCCAAAAGAAAAAAAAAATATATAAAATCTTGATAAATATTAGTTTACATGCACGGTTCAACTTGGAAAATGAATACCTTCCATTTTGGATAAATGTTTCTTCACTTTACCAGCACAGCCTTGACAGTGAAGAGACACTCTCATTACCACCACCTGTCACCAACATTATATTCAGGTAGGTGTCTTTAGAAAAGGATAATCCTCAACTACAAAGTAAAGAAAAATTAAATAACCTGATAGACATTATGAGATGCTGCTATGGAAGAAACTTCTTGATGCCCATTTTCTTTTTCCTTTTTCAAGGACGAAACATTGATCGGTCTCCTATGATCGGTTGTAGAAACTTTACACGGCTCCCCTAATCGAATATATTTCGCATTGTTGATTAATTTTGCACGATCAACAATCTTCCTGTCCAGATTTCGTGGCACGATCACAGACATGTAATCTTGATTCATGCACACTGCAGTAGAAGCAGGAGAATGACACATGAAGCCCTTCATTTTCTTCACTGCTTTCAAGCTCTTGTTCATGGCTGGACATAAGAAGTTTGTGTAGGGATGGGGTGGAATGTTTTTGAGGATGTTCTGATATATAATATGGAAGGCAAAGTGTATTGAAGAGATTGAATGAATAGTGTGTACTGTAGGGTG